AATTAAATAATAAATGCGTAAATAAGTAAATCAGTATACAACATTAATAAAGTTATAAAAATATTTTAAATATATATGTAATATTTAAGAATATATGTATATTAGACCGACTCACTCTGTATGGAAAGCAAAAACATGTTTTTGTTATTCCTCTCAAAATTTACCTTGCTTTGTTTTATGACGATTCCCAAAATATTTTAAGTCTAGCAATGACCGTTCCTGACCTGGACCAAATAAAAAAATGTATTTTGGAATTATTTTTTTGAAATTTTTGTTTTGAAACAAAATATCTAATATGGGGTATCGTTTGAAAGGGGTTTTAAAGCCGCGTCCAATAATGTATTAATCATAAATAACCGTCTGCTCATAATTGTCATATTCCAAAATATTTAAAATTGTTAGGTTTTTCACAAATAAATAAAATATGCACAATTTTTCAAATTTTGCGCACCACTAGACTTAGCTTCAAAAAAACCTTTCAAATGATACCACATATTGTATATTTTGTTTAAGAAATACTGTAAAATTAAAAAAAAACAAGTAAGAAATTATAGTCGGGCGAGGCCGACTATATAATACCCTACACCTTTGACAAAAATATAATGTGATTTAGTTGCCATAATAAAGCATTTAAGTTGAATTGTACCTTGCATTAGATTTACATACTTAAGCCGTTTATTGTTGAATAAAATTGTGGACATTTAAGTGAAATTTTGATGGGGGCTTTTCATAGGGGCTAGGGTCATATGAGAACCTATTATTATGGAATTCGTGGGGGTCATCAAGTCTTGTATACAACTTGGTTATTGCAGCTTTTTGTCGAGATATGAGTATATTAAACATAATTATGAACTTAAAAGCCCTATTCGGCGGGTTCAGTTGTATGGGGGCTAGGTGAAATAATGGACCGATGGTAACCATTTTCAATAGGCTTCATCTACGGTACCATAAAAGATCATGTGCAAAATTTCATTGAATTATCTCCAAAATTGTGACCTGTAGTTTGATTACAACTTTTAAAAGCCCTATTCGGGGGTTTCAGTTGTATGGGGGCTAGGTGAAATAATGGACCGATGGTAACCATTTTCAATAGGCTTCGTCTACGGTACCATAAAAGATCATGTGCCAAATTTCATTGAATTATCTCCAAAATTGCGACCTGTAGTTTGATTACAAGTTTTAAAAGCCCTATTCGGGGGTTCAGTTGTATGGGGGCTAGGTGAAATAATGGACCGATGTTAACCATTTTCAATAGGCTTCGTCTACGATACCATAAAAGATCATGTGCCAAATTTTATTGAATTATCTCCAAAATTGCGACCTGTAGTTTGATTAAAAATTTTAAAAGCCCTATTCGAGGGGTTCAGTTGTATGGGGGCTAGGTGAAATAATGGACCGATGTTAACCATTTTCAATAGGCTTCGTTTACGATACCATAAAAGATCATGTGCCAAATTTCATTGAATTATCTCCAAAAATTGCGACCTGTAGTTTGATTACAAGGATTACAAGCCCTTTTGGGGGTTCAGTTGTATGGGGGCTAGGTGAAATAATGGACCGATCTTAACCATTTTCAATAGGCTTCGTCCCTGGCACAATAGAAGATCATGTACCAAATTTCATTGAATTATCTTCAAAATTGCGACCTGTAGTTTGATTACAAGGTTTACATGGACGGACGGACAGACGGACGGACAGACGGACGGACATAGCTAAATCGACTCAGAAAATGATTCTGAGCCGATTGGTATACTTTAAGGTGGGTATAGGACCAATATTATTGTGCGTTACAAACATCAGCACAAACCCAATATACCCTCCCCACTAAAGTGGTGTAGGGTATAATAACAAAAACGAGGCTTTTTTGTAAACGGTCCTGCTCACGAACGCTCATCAATAGACAAGAAAAATTTTGGGAACCATTATAAAACATAACAAAGATTATTTGAGGCTGGGTAAAATATTGAATTTAATTTTTTTTTATTTTCTTGAAAACTGTCCAGCTCACGAATGGACAACACTTAACCGAAAATATTTTGCGTAACATCAGATTACATAACAGCGAATATTTTGAGGGGGTAACTCAAGCACCATTTTTGTGACTCGGTCTAATGTATATATAATTAAGTTCTCATATAAGTATGTAAGTATATTTTTGGACTGTAGATACTTACCAATTGTGAATCAATCGATCATCTGTACTGTGGCCATTGTGTAGCAGCTTCCTTAATATTTTTGCATTCAGAATGTATTTGATTTATATGAAATTTTACACAAGCAGACTATGTTGCCTTAAAGTTTTCGACACAAAGGTTATCGTATTTTAAACTTTGTAAAGAAATTCCAGCGTTGTCTTCAGGAGCTGTAGGGAAAAATAGACATACATATATTATAAGTTATCAGTTTGTAACTTAAGTAGTATTACCGAATTTTTGGGTGGCATACAGAACTTTACTAGAAGATGGTTGATCAGTTTGGAACACTTTCAATTTGCCTTTATTATAATGATACGCCTTTGGAAAACAATATTCAAATATTATATTCACTATAATTTCACAATTGCAGATTTTTTAATTATTAAATTTTATTTCATTATAAATACACAACGTTTATTAATATGTATACAAATTGTTTTTTTTTTTTTTTATTTTTAAAATATGGATATATTTTTTAACTAGAAACACATGCACTTTAATTCACTGAAGTTACAATACAAATAAAATTGGTGATTGATTTTTCTTGTCTCTCTTTGCACTTTAAATTTACAGTTATTTGTGGTCAGCAAAAATTAAAAAAAGTGGTATAACAACTATTAATATGTAGGTGTGCGTCTACAAAAACAAATATAGTATTTAAATTTGCATAACGAAGATTGTTTCACTGCATCTATGAAAAATTTTCATTGCATGTGTGAATAATGTTCATGCACATTTAAAACTTATAAAAAATATAAAAAATGAGAACAAGGGGTGCATAAGAATAAAGGGCAAAGAGGAAAAATTTAAAAATATAAATGAAGAAAATTCATTGTATTCTGGAATGCGGTTTTATTAATTTTTTGGATATTTAAAAAGATCACTAAATAATAATTATATTAATAAAAATATATTTAATTATACGCGTATTGAAAAGTAATTGCTATTATGTATAAACAAATTTATTTGTGATACTTATTTTTCTCAAAATTTGCATTAATTTGAACTTGGTAATTTTAATGATATCAATTTCATATGAACAGTGAATTATGAAGATTTCGAAAAAAATGTATAATGAAAGATTTCATTGCGCACAAGAAAGTGCTCATTATACAAATAAAATACTTAATTTATTCGATGAAGAACATCTGATGAATGCGATTCATTAGTTAAATGCACGAATTTTCTCTTAGTGTACTTACAATGTCTAGAAAGTAAGAAAATGTTCATGGGCTCAAAAGTATAGAATACCATTTGATTCCAAGGTTTTGTTGTCACCACATGATAAATTGATATATGTACATTTAACACTATGCGACAAAAATAAATACCTGGGAAGTGATACTATTTTTCTCAAATGTGGATCCGAGTAGAATAAGAATATGTTTTTGAAATTTGCCAAACACCTCCAAAATCTTAAGTTACGGATAAAAATCCGGTTTTTCGTACTTTTAAGCACATATGAGTCAGTAACTTAGTTGAATCTGAACCGATTTTAAGTTTCTCCACAATTTAGAAAGCAGAAGCTGAGGCCTTTATAATGACATATATAACGTTTAAGTAACTTGGAGAGATATGTGTCAGTTTCACCAGCAAACATATTTCTTATTTTAGTTTTGCACCGTCGCCAAGTTTGGAGATGTTTTATGAAAGTATTTTATATGGGAACCGTAACATTTATTAACTGATTGGAAACCCATGTTTATTCATGAGTAAAACACAACTTTGTTTTTAAAAATCCGTAAGCAATTGACGGCGTTATTGGTCTTTTTCTTAATACAAAATTGTTCAAAAACTGATTTCTGAAGGATGCTTTATATAGTGGATAGGGTTAAATATGGGCCGATCGTCGAAAAATTTGGTGGAAGGATTTTTGTTTATATAAAAGTTATTTATTCTGAATTTCATCGTGATATTAATATTAAGAGGAGAATTATGGAATTCAAGTCATTTTCTGAAGGAGGGTTTGTATGGGGAGTAGGGTCATGTAAGACCGTATTGTCTAAAGAATCTGCAGTATCACTAATGATTACAGCAAACTCATTTTACCGATTTTTGTATTGATCGGACTTTATTTGAACCCAATCTCCATGCAAATCCTCCTTAAACAAACGACTTTAATTCCATAATTCTCTTAATTACGTCAATATCACTATAAAATTCAGCATATATAACTTTTATATAAATCTAAATCCTTCCACCAAATTGTATGAGGATCGGCCCATATTTAGCCCTATCCCCCATATAAAGTATCTTTCGGAAAATCAGTTTTGGATAAATTTTGTATTAAGAAAAAGATCAATAACGTCGTCAATTGCTAACGGATTTTTAAATTCGTTTATTTTGTCTCACTGTGTGATCTATTGGGATTATAAAATATTTTTTGCATACTCCATACACATTCCTTAATAGTTCAGCATAAACTCACAAATGTAGCTCTAAATAAAAAATGGAATCTTGGGTTTATCAATGAAATTTAAAAAAAATATATTTACTGCAAAAACAATAAAATATAAGTAAAACCGACAATTTTTACTTTAGTTTTTTTTAGTTTAGTTACGAAAAAAATATATGGTCATTGACGCTTTTTGGTGTAGATCTACATACATATTTTCAGGATGATGTGATTGAAACCTGTAATGGTTTAAACTTGTAAAGAATGTACTAAAAGTATAAGTGTATTAAAAAGTGTAAATAAATGTTCCAGGTAGCAGTTTACACATATCCGACCTGCACCAAAGAAACACCCTAATGTACAAATGCATTTCATAAATATAACGATTTAAAAATTATTTTTTATTGCAGGATCTGGAAACGTTTGATCTAGAAGATTTTAAATATAACGGTGTTAATATAACTGCATTTCGATTGGTTGATGTGGAAAGCAAACGGTATAATGAAATAATTGAACAAATGAAAAAGTTTCCTCATAGTGGTTTAAATATGGTTGAAGGACGTCCTTACATAGAGGTAAGCTATGTGAATGTGATGCACAAAGTTACGCCCAGCAAAAAAATAAGTAAAACATGTAGTTTAATCAGTGGTTTAAGTGACGAAGTGTTTCAAAGTAGAGAACCATTGTAAATTCTATGATTCGCAAACGATATTAATTTCATTTGTTTATACATACATACATACATACATACATACATACATACATACATACATACATACATACATACATACATACATACATACATACATACATACATACATACATACATACATACATACATACATACATACATACATACATACATACATACATACATACATACATACATACATACATACATACATACATACATACATACATACATACATACATACATACATACATACATACAGTGTTGGACAAAACTAAAGCACGAACTTTTACTTGTTAGAAAAAAGCTCAATAAAATTTAAGAAATAGGTTATTTTGTAATTAAAATGGTTAGTTTAGCTAGAATATACCTAGGAAAAACTTATATACATTGAAAAGTAATGAGTTAAAATGCTAATAAAACCTCTTTTCACTACTTCTTCATTAGCATTTTGAGTCATTATTTTAACACGGTAATGTCATTGGAGGCAAGTACTTTTAAGCTCCCTTACAAATAGGGAGTTAAAGAAGTACTTGCAATTTCTCTTACAGAACAGTTGTTGAGTAAGTTGTTTTGATTTTTAATAATAAAAAGAGCCAGCTAGAATACGAACCAGGGACTTCGGTTTGTTAGTCAAATGTTCTACTCACTGCACCACTGCTTAGCTATTTTATTGCGCGTCAAATTTAATTTTGTTTTCTTTTTTTGTAAAACAATTCTTAACACGCAAATAAATAAAATGTGCAAACAAAATGACTAAGCCGAAAATAAAGGTCTTCTATATCAGATTATAAGAAAGTTATTATGTACTAGAGTACTTCTAAGTAATGCAGACGGTAAGTAGTAGTCATTGAAAAGGAAGTGGTTATGGAAGTACAACCCATTACCGAGTTTTAGCTGGGTAGTTTAGATATTGTAAAAACAATGAAAAATAATGTGGTTTAAAATGAAAATACATTGCTTGTGATCAAGTAACATCAATTAGACTAAAATTGCAGCGACAAAACTAAAGCACATAACTATGAATATATTAAATTTTTGTGAATTTTAAGAAATTGTTACCAAAAATTACTATCGATTACGTAAAAACTTTCACTTAAAGACATTTTAAGACCAAATCAAAGTAATGTCGATCCATTTTAGAGACATTATCTCCACTTTTTAATACAGTTTTACATTGTGCAAGATATTTTCATACACAAAACGATCTGTTATTTCATTTATTTACTTTATATTTGTGGCCCCGGTAGGTTAGTGTTCTAGTTTGGTAGACCGGTGGTGGTGGGTTCGATTCCCACCTGAGGCACTGGTTAAGGAGCGCACAACAGGCCCGATAGAGGCCTAGGTGTATTTCTTCGGATTTGATGTATATACATCCTCCTTTCAAACTAATTAACTAACTACTACTTTATATTTATAAAATTTTCCGATCCCATTACGTGGAAAACGTCCCAAAACCATAATATTACCCCCTTTGTGTTTTATTTTTACTACAATATACCGATAATTTCACTACTGGCCTGGATTCTAACTTTAATTCATCAAAATCACTTTAATTTAGCTTCGATTCATCAGAAAAATGTTCATTGTATAAAATTTCGGTCGAAGTGCCCCTCTGTCAAATCAGTCCTAGCCAGTTTGAATTTTAGGCAAAATAAAAGGCGTTTTTACTTTAATATGACTTTAATCAACCTTCTGCAGTTCTTTTCTGGATATCTTTGGACATAATATTTAATAGTAATTGAATTACTATGGATCTTGTTAATGCAATAGAACCAATTTTAATATCCGAATTCAACACTGGTCCTCCCTTTTTAGGGTTTTTTTTCGTGATCCTCCACTACACCCAATAAGCCTGATGATTGAAAGTGGCTTATAATTTGACAAATTACTATGTGATAAATAATAACTTTTTTAAAAATTTGTTTCACTAATTGACATTTATTAAAATCATCAAAAATGTTTCCTTTTTATCGCAAAAAATACTTTTGATGAGCCATTTTGAACTTCAAATTGCAGGAAAGTGCACTGCGAAGGCGAATGATCAAAAAAGTCTATAAAAATTTTATAAATTGACTTTATTTTAAGTTAATTTACTCTTATAATGTCTTCAAGAGAAAGTATTTACTTATTCAATAATAGTTTTTGTTAACAGTTTCTTAAAATTCATGAAAATTTAATATATCCAAAGTTACGTGCTTTAGTTTTATCGCTGCAATTTTAGTCTTATTTAAATAATATACTTAAAAACTATGTATTTTATTTTAAACAACATTATGTTTCATTGTTTTTATAATTTCTAGACTATATTCTTCCTAAAATAATAATTTTTATTACAAAATAACCATTTTTTTAATTTTACTAAGCTTTTTTCTAACAAGTAAAAGTTCGTGCTTTAGTTTTGTCCGACACTGTATGTATTTTGGGATATATTTTAAATGCTACTAATAGGAAATATGCGAATAATATCAAATAAATATTGTATATTAGGAGATTAACCAAAATTAGGCGCTATCACTACGTGGTAGCCAGTAGTGTTGCAATAACGAAAACTTTTTTCTCGGATCTTTTTAGTGCAAAAACCTTCCGCGGTACATATAATCTACATGTTTGGGTAGTAAATTTGGAGGAGTGATAAACCGCTACCCCTTTCCTTGCTTTTTCTTTGTGTAAATGTCGTAAGTCAAACAATGACACTAGTTTATATTATTAAACAATTTTATCTTTAGTTATGAGTAAATATCGAAAACATTATAGCACTCGCTGCGGAAACATCTTTAACGCTTCAACGTAATTGTTTATACTCTATTGTTCAATTCACAATCGATGTTGTAGCGTTGTATGCGTTGTATGTCAGCAGCTGCTACAATAGTCATAACAACGTTGTTGGTATTTTCTATGCAAAAGCTCTATACAACTCCTACGACAATTTTTCATATGTTTTTCGAATGTTGTAAGAAAGTTTAGTGTTGCCAAATATTTATTTCAACATATAAACAAAAAATTCAAACGATTTTAGCATAAAAAACGATAAAGTGGTAACACTGAAATCAAAAACAAACAGCTGTTTACCAAAACAAAAGAGCTAAAATTTAATCAAAAACTGTTTATTTATTAGTCTAAAATGTGGAATAAAGAAAATAAAAGAATTGAAAATTCAAAGAAATTAATTTGGTTTATTTCTCATCTTTAATTAATTTAATATTTTTTGATTTTTTTATCTTTTGACATTATTATGTATATTTGTTTTGATTGTTTTTTTTTCATTGAGAACATAAACTTATGACTTGCTGCAAAGATCTGTTCACAATCACTGTTACTACACTTTAGTAGGTACAATATACAACTTGATTGTGAATTGAACATATGTGTAATAGATATGGATGATATAAATTTTCCAAAGATTTTATAAAAGTTTTAACCCTAATGTATGTGTGTTTAATATCATTATTATTCCTAATTGTACATACAATTCATTGACTGAATTTAAATCGCTGAATCAATTTAAGTATTAATATATTTTGTTAACTCAGAATAGTTGAAATTAGGGAAGACATTTGTAATATATTTTATAGTACTATTTAAAATGTCATGAAAATTTACTAAGAACTATTAATTTTTTTTGCTGGGATTAAATACAAGATTAAATACAGGAATATATTTGAGTTTTATTAAAAAAGAATATGTATGTATGTAACTATTTCATATTTCGCAGACCCAACCAGCTTTAATGTTTGATTCTGTTTATGCGTTTGCTACCGGTCTAATGGCACTCAATGGTGTACATGCCTTACAATTACGAAATTTGTCTTGTGCTCTTGAGGAACCTTGGAACGATGGCCTTTCTTTATATAATTACATTAACACTGCAAGTATAAAAGGCCTGACTGGAAACATAGACCTAACCGAAGGAAGACGCAATAAATTTAAAATTGATCTTTTAAAACTAAAACAAGAACGTATAATGAAAGTTGGCTTTTGGACTCCAGATGAAGGAATTAATATAACGGATCCCACGGCATTTTATGATACAAATACTGCAAATATTACACTTTTAGTAATGACAAGAGAGGTAATTGATGTAGTAATGTTTTTATATCCACCATAAAAAATGGGGGTATATTAGTTTTTTTATTCCGTTTGTAACACATCGAAATATTGGTCATAGGCCCACAAAAGTATATACACTGGCGAGCAAATGTGAGTGCATGTTTGTAATTTGTGTACTTTATTTGGAATAAAAATAAAACTAAAAAAGCAAATCCAAAAATGTTTTTTGGATTTGCTTTCTTTAGGGAAGGCCAACATTTTTAATATTTTTTACAAAGTCCGATGTTAAATAAATCACTTTTTGCACATTTTAGAATACTTTTCTATAAATTGTTCTTTATTCTATTTGAATAAAGAACAATTGAGCCATGTCCGTCCATCTGTTGAAAGCACGATAGAGTCCGAACGAAAAGAAAAAATATTCTTTATCGGTAAGGTTTGTTTTGTAAAAATGGGAATATCCACGTTTCTGCATATCCCCCGAAATACAGCTTCAACAGTCATAACTGTTTTATTATTACGAGTATTGCGATGAAATTCGACATAAATAAGTTCTATATGAGCTTAAATCTTTCTACCAACTTTTATGACGATCGATCCATAATTGACCCTTCATATAAGGTCACCTTCTGAAAATTACTTTAGCGCTTATTAATAGTATAAAAATATGAGTATAGCAATGGAATTCGACATTAGTAAGTTTCTTATGAACCAAAAAACACTTTATCAAATTTTATGGCTATCGGTCCATTCAGAAAATTACTTTATCGCTCATTACTGGCTTAAAAAAACAGTACAGCTATGAATTTTGACATAAATAAGTTTTATGTGAACACAAATCGCTTACTTACCCTAGCGTTTATAAAAGGTTCCTTTCAGGAAAGGGGTTTAATTATTTAATTGACTCTACCGACCATATACGGTCATTGTTTAAAATAGGACAAAAATATTTGTTTTTTTTAAATTATTTTTTGTTACTTTGAAATTGCTCGGTCCATAATTTGATTACGCCCTATTCCAAATATCAACCTGGTTGTTATTAGTTAGTTTGAAAGGAGGATGTATATACATCAAATCCGAAGAAATACACCTAGGCCTCTATCGGGCCTGTTGTGCGCTCCTTAACCAGTGCCTCAGGTGGGAATCGAACCCACCACCTCCGGTCTACCAGACTAGAACACTAACCACTAACCTACCGGAGGCCAGGTTGTTATTAGTGAAGCATTGCTTGTGGCATGCGGTTTGATGGTGGGTATATCGGATTAATTTTTAAATCGATTTTTTGAATAAAACATTGTTATGAAGAAAGCATAAAAAATAATAACCGATTTACTGTAAAGATTCTCTTTTAAATAAAGTATTGTAAAAATGCTACTTTAGCAAAAATCGCAAAAAGTTGGATGGTCAAAAATTCCATTTTCACTGTAAATTTTTTCCAAACCAGCATTCGAGTGAATGCTGGTCACTTTGATAGCCAACCACATGGCACATTTCTTACGAAATGTTATGCTAAAAGTGTCCGTTTGTATTTAATTACGCAGAAAATTAAAAAATGTTACAAAATTACGTGCTATTCATAACAACAATTAGTTTTTTGTATGGACAAAAGATCAGTAGCTCAGTGGTGAGTGCTTCTAACTACAAATCGAAAGACACCAAGTTTAACCCCAGTTTCAGAATTCATTTTTTATTTTTTGTTGAATAATTGGGACTAGTGATATTAATAGAAATTACATCGCCATGTTAAATTCAACGTTATATTGATTTTGTCATTCCGTTTGTAACATATCGAAATATTGGTTATAGACCCACAAAAGTATATATATTCTGGGTCCTTATTAAATTCCGTCTGTCTGTTGAAAGCACGATAGAGTCTTAACTAGATTTCGGGGTTCGGGAATTCTCGGAAAAAGTTTGTAGGGATTTCCCGGGAATTTTTTTTAATTATTCCCTGGAAAACGGGAAATTTAAAATTAACGTATTTTTAACATATTTTGGAAAAGTAGCGATTTTATAATTTATTAGCAATTCTAAATTAAATCTATGTATATAAAAGCTCAACATGAGGGAAGTACAAACAGAACCAAAGATGTTGACATTCTCTTTAATGCATTTCTAAAACCAGCGTCTGTGGAAAGCGTTTCAGTTATTTCAGTAGCTGGAAATTTGTCTGATGTAATGCATGTTTGGATTACATGGTCCTTCATTTACATGACAATGTTAAGTATATAATGTTTTTGTATATTTGGATTAGTTTTGGACCAGTCCGTTTACACAAGTATAAGGTTGGTTGGTTAATGTGGTAGTTCACTGCGCGCAAACAACTAAGTAGAATCGAAGACTCCGTTTTGACCGGACCACTCCTCTCGTCAGGTGTAGTATTGTATAGCATTAGATCCAGCCTGTAGCAGTGAAAAAGCTCAGAATATCATTAAGCTTAACCCACATATCTTACCAAGGTTGGCTATGAAGCAACTGCCAAAAAAACATTTTCTCTTAGCGGCTAAAGCAGGTCATTTACAGAGAGGATGGAAGACCGTTTCATCCTTTTCCCTGTCTTTGCAACTGCTACAGTACTCATGGCGCACATTTCAGGTTATAAAGTGTCCTGTGCGTTTCTCATAGAAAGAAGGCCACAATGACTTGGCCCCTTTACATGTGCCTAGGTTATTCCATTTATACCCAAACAATAACAAGGAGAGATCCTTCTTGAATTGTCTAATAGGGAAGTGGTAGTATAAGAGTTTTGAGAGACAATTGTCGCTCGTCTATCTTTAAGCTGGAGGTCCACACCACGCGTTCTACGCTTCTTCGCATTCTACGCGGCTGTCAAAAAAGTAGAATCAATGTTGTTGTGTGCTAGAGGTTACAAGCACAAAAGGGATGCCTTGAGGCGTAGAATGCTAAAGTAGATCTACTTTCTACTTTTGTAAGCTGATTTTGACAATTTATATTCTATTTTTAATGTGTAACTTATCAATTTTAATAACTAAAACGAGTTAAATTGTGAAAATATAAAAAAAACTCTCCATATAAGTCCCTCTTCAAAAAATGACTTAATGATAATTACTGACCTAAAAATGCGAGTACAGCGATTATATTCAATATAAACAAATTCTGTATGAACCAAAATCGGTCTACAAATTATAACGGGGATCGGTGAATAATTAACCTACCCCTCAGAAAATTAAGGTCCTCTTCAGGACATATATATATATATATATATATATATATATATAATATATATATAATATATATATATATATGTATATATATATGTTCATGGTTTAAAAGTTTATCAAATTCTATTACCATCACCCTGACTATCATCCTTCTATTGTGTGTGTGAAGTTAAATTCGAATTTAACTAGCAAAGACACAAAAACAATTTGTTTACAGTGCTCATTTTGTAGCTAACAGAGCGCAGTTAATCACTTAACAGAATATTGTAATTGAATTAGGAGAACGAAAACTGACCATTTTGGAAGCAGGATGAATGTTCCACACATCCAACTATATGGAAATGGTGGTCCAAAGGCCACTTAATGGAACTGTGTATGTAATATATCTGCATTTATAGTAAACATACTTAAACATTCAACTTTGTTTACTAATATTCTGGACAGGATTACTGGAACTGAGTGAAAGTTACACATGTCCCACTATATGGAAATGGTAGTCCTAGGGATATGCCCTGGATCCGCATTAGTGGTATATCTGAAATAATCTTGGAATGCCTTAATTATTTAAACTTTTTTTGAAAAATTCTTGAGAGGATTAGTGGAACTGGGTGGAAGTTACAGATATCCCATCATATGGAAAAGGTGATCTGGGGATGGGAAATGCAGCTACCTTAGTGGGATATATGAAATAACCATGGAAACACCTTAAAAAATTAACTTTTTTTTGAAAATTTCTGGAGAGGATTAGTGGAACTGAGTGGAAGTTACATATATCCCACTATATGAAATTTTAGTCTAAGGGGTACCTAAAGAACTGTATAGGTTGAATATCTGAAATAAATCCTGGGACTCCCACAGAATATATTTTGATTTTGCTTGAAAAATAGTAACTTTTTTGAAAATTTCTGGAGAGGATTAGTGGAACTGAGTGGAAGTTACATATATCCCACTATATGGAAATTAGGGTCTAAGAGGTACCTAATGGAACTATATAGGTTGAATATCTGAAATAATCGTGGGACTCCCACAGAATGAATTTAGATTTTATTTGAAAAATAGTAAATTTTTAGAAAATTTCTAATAGTGGGATATATGAACTTCCACTCAGTTCTACTAATCCACTCCAGAAATTTTCTAAAAATTTACTATTTTTCAAATAAAATCTAAATTCATTCTGTGGGAGTCCCACGATTATTTCAGATATTCAACCTATATAGTTCCATTAGGTACCTCTTAGACCCTAATTTCCATATAGTGGGATATATGTAACTTCCACTCAGTTCCACTAATCCTCTCCAGAAATTTTCAAAAAAGTTACTATTTTTCAAGCAAAATCAAAATATATTCTGTGGGAGTCCCAGGATTATTTCAGATATTCAACCTATACAGTCTTTTAGGTACCCCTTAGACTAAAATTTCCATATAGTGGGATATATGTAACTTCCACTCAGTTCCACTAATCCTCTCCAGAAATTTTCAAAAAAAAGTTAATTTTTTAAGGTGTTCCATGGTTATTTCATATATCCCACTAAGGTAGCTGCATTTCCCATCCCCAGGATCACCTTTCCATATGATGGGATATCTGTAACTTCCACCCAGTTCCACTAATCCTCTCAAGAATTTTTCAAAAAAAGTTTAAATAATTAAGGCATTCCAAGATTATTTCAGATATACCACTAATGCGGATCCAGGGCATATCCCTAGGACTACCATTTCCATATAGTGGGACATGTGTAACTTTCACTCAGTTCCAGTAATCCTGTCCAGAATATTAGTAAACAAAGTTGAATGTTTAAGTATGTTTACTATAAATGCAGATATATTACATACACAGTTCCATTAAGTGGCCTTTGGACCACCATTTCCATATAGTTGG